TGGTTCAAATATCCAGACTATGGTTGCTCAAGCTCAATCAGACCTAAATGTTCTATCTTCTTGGTTTCAACAAAATCTACTAACAATTAATATTTCAAAAACATCTTATGTAATATTCAAGGCAACAAATAAACTCATTCCTATCTTTCAACCGCTTAAAGTTCAAGACGTTGAAATCAATAACAAAAAATGGGAGAAATATCTGGGTCTTAGAATGGATACAAATTTAAAATGGAACTTTCATATATCACACATAATTACCAAACTAAAATCACTTATAGGCAGATTTTGGTCAATATCTAAATGCATTCCGCAATCTGTACGTCATTTGATCTATAATTGTTTAGTCAAGCCACATTTCATATACCTAATTGAAATATGGGGTACAGCATGCAAAAACAAAATTTCTACAATACAAACACTACAAAATAAATTAATAAAAGCACTATTCAGATACAATTTTTTAACACCTACTAATAAAATCTACCAAGAAACTAAAATTATGACGATTAAACAACTATATGTTTATAGCACCTGTATCCTTATTAAAAAAAAATTAAATAACTCTCTACATAGTAACTTATCATTTAATAAAATCAAATACACCACTACACGCAATACTCGTCGAGCGAGTTTGCTTATCTTGCCAAAGCCGCGCACAAATTATTTAAAGAGATCTATTAGGTATGAGGGTGTGCAATTGTTTAATCGGTTGCCGTCTAAGCTTCGTAACATTAGCGTGATTGATCAGTTCAAAAGGGCATTAAAGACACACATCAGAATGGGCCCATTAGACTAGAATTGGGCTAGCTGATGGCGACGTGTATCTCGTTCGTATATATACTTAATATTAAATTTCTCATGTAAATAAAAAAAAAATTTTTGTAATGAGAAATAAAGTTCTTTAAACATTAAACTTTCATCGGACGTCAAGGCAGAATACAAAATACCGTCCGTATCACCTTGACGACCGTCGTTCCACAACTGGGCATTTTAAAGGCAGTTTTTGCCGCGCACCGCATGTATGTGGAACCAGCTGCCCATTGAAGTATTTCCGTACCAAATCCACTTAGGGTCGTTCAAGAAACCAGCGTACCAATTTTTAAAAGACCGGCAACTACTCATCAGTCATCACACTATCACCTAAGATCAGATGAGCCCGATGGCCATAAAAAAATTAAATTTATAACTGTATATATTTATCTCAATGTTAATCACAATAATTCTCAATTCCAATAAATCCATTTCGTCGTATTATAAGAATAACACAATTTATATTTCTATGAATCAACTTTCTTATGTTTATCACATATTTCCGTATAGTAAACAAAATAATTGTAGCCATTGTTATGATAAACATAATAATCTCGTATATATAGCACAGGAGCAATGAAAGTAGTCAGTTTATAATGATAGTTAGTGAGGGAGACTAGTCTGAACTGTTTTGTGAATAAAAATTAATGTCAAAGGAATTTACAAGGTTAGTGATAGATCAAAATAAATACTAACATATTTTATCTATTAAAAGTAATTTATAATGAATTTTAATTCGTATTCATTTTCAGATGAAGTCAATACCAGTTATATTATGTCTAGTAACAGAGTTATTCGCCACGCCAGTTATAACGCGTCAAAGTTTGCTTCGACAAGCGAATAGAGACCAATATTGCTCACATCTTTTACATTTCAATAATTATTTCTATTCGTTAGACGAGCAACGGAATCTAACAGGCACTCCAGCAGATTTAAGCATTCATTGGAAAACTGGAAACATATTCTACACGCTTATAAGTGATGAAATGAAAATGAGTCTCCAAGTGCTGCATCCCAGTAACGAAACTGAAATAATAAAAGTTGCCGGACTCGGCCAATCAACGTGTGTGGATAACCTCAATGACATTGTATACCTTGCCACTGATAACGGCGTCTATAAATACAAAGATGACGGCTCCATAGAACTCTATACAGCTTTAGGTGAAGATGTTATGTACATTGCTGTGACGAACGATGGCTCGACTATGTACATCGCCACATGGCCCCAGAACAGGGTACAAAAAATAACAAATGACGGTCAGAAACAAGAAACCTTCGCGCCTATACCAAATGGACATGGACTGACCATAGATACAAGAAATAACATGTACTTTGCAGCAACAAAGACATCGTATGTGCTCAAGAATGGACACAATGTTCCTATAAAAATAAAGGGACTGCCGAGCGATAGAATGACTGGTGTTTTTGTCAGCCGATCGGACGATGTATTTGCAATGGATGAGAATAGCAATTTTTATAAAATAGACCCAGAAAATGCAAGTGCTAAACATCTAGGTACATTCAGTATAGGCGGCGTGAATACATTTGGTTTAGATTCGGCAGATAATATTTACATTGGAGTCAAAGGAGGAATTAATAAATTTACAGCGCATGAGACCAGCCCCTGCGCGGATTTCGAAAAGTAATTTTAAGTGTATGTGACTAACATGGTAATAACCTTTACATCAATCATTGTCTATTGGTCTAAGATCCCGATATACAACGACCTTCACCGAGATGCTTATTTAATGAAACGTATTTTATATTTAATTTAATATGTCAATAAATATAATCCATATGGGTTGCCTAGCAAATTTCAGTCCAGAGTATTTTAATTAAAATATTTTTTTAAACATTTCACCGGTATGATTATTAGATAAATTCTATACCAATCTAAAGTATGAAGCCCATAGAATATGCAAACGTTAGGTTGTTTTTAATCAATTAATTATTTATGTGTATATTTTTTATGTGACACTAAAGTATATTTATACATCTTTAGTAAAAAAGAAAGTTATAGTGATACATATATAATACTACCCTGATTAAAAATATTGATTGAAAAATTAAAAAAATTTACTACTACATGCAAATTATAAAAAAAAATATTTTTTTTAAATATTAATTAAACGTACTCTGGACTGAAATTTGCTAGGCAACCCATATGGATTATATTTATTGACATATTAAATTAAATATAAAATACGTTTCATTAAATAAGCATCTCGGTGAAGGTCGTTGTATATTGGGATCTTATACTATATCTCTAACGCATAGTTGAAAAGAAAAGTACGACTCGTTTCGATTACGACTAGTATAATATGACACCCAACTGTAATAATGTGGTTCTAAAATATAATCATTAATCTTTAACATCTCTCTCTTTTTCTCTTTCATTTTATCGGTAAGCTGTACCTTTTGATGGAAGCAAGAGATCTTGTGACAAAACCTGAAAGACTGAATATCGACTTTATAGTTGTTGACTCAATAATAATTTCATACTTACAATATTCAATGAAACAAAGCAATCCCAAATCGAAAAGGTTGTGAACTTTGATATAAGTTATGACTTATAAAAGTTTAAAAGTATTTTGTTAATTTAGATAGATTTAATGCAAAAGGTATAATTGATTGGATTAGGTTTGTTAATTTATTAAAAAAAAGGTATTGAATAATTTTATTTATTTTTACAGCCAAAATGTAAAAGGCAAAAAATTCACTAAACGTCGGAAGCATAAGAAAACAACAACGTCCACCACAGAAGCAACGTACGAAGATGAATAATTTATGTTTTATTGTTTTGTTTTTAATAAATCTTTTATCAATTCTGTTTTACATTATATTTTTTAGTGCCATCTATAACAACGTTAACGTACTACGATAGTTTAGGTAAAGGTACGATTACATTTTTAAATTTTAACAGTTCACTCGTCCAATATTATACCAACTTATTTTAAAGGTTTGCTACTCTTTAACTAGATGGCGCTAAATGCAAATTAATTACAGTTTTATTAATATTTTTATCTTGAATCGCGCAGAATGTGTGATGACAAAGATTTTATATGAAGTAATGTTGCGATTAATAAATTTTAATAATATTTATCTTAATTAAATGCATAAATTGTTAAATGAAGAATGACAAGTTTTTAAACGCACGTTCGTAATTTTAGTGATACCAGGCTTCATAAACACTCCTGAATACTTAGTAAAACAATTTTAATATAGCTTAAAATGTGTTTTATAATAATTTGACACAAGAGTTTACAAAACTATGACTTCTGATTTATGTAATTATTACTTAATGATAAATATTAATAGGAATGGATATTATTATGGTTTATTACCGATGTTAAAATTATATACTTACACATTTTTTTTATTAACTTTATAAAACAATTTACTATACCTACGATAACTGGAGGTTAAACGAAAAGATTTCTTTTTTATTATTATGTTTAATTACCTTAAGATTTAATTAGGAGTATGCCGTCATGATGTCAGATCTTTTCGAAAATTCTATAAAACTGAAAAACGTAGAGATTTAAAAATTTGTCACTCAAAGAGTTCATTGTCAGTTCTTCTCATCTGTATTGATTTGAGAAAGTCTAGAAGTCTTAGAGTACATTATGTAGAGTTCGGATGTAGAGTCAACACAATGTAGTCAAAGACGTATTAAGTTATTCAAAATCTACTGCAATGCTGATGGCAGTGTATATCACTACTGCAAACAGTGCTCAATAACACTAATTAAATTACGCATGTATGAAGTGTTAATACACTGGTATAAGTTTAGAAGCAACTGACGTTCATAGGTATACAAAGTATATTATTTATATCTATATGAATAAAATATGATATTTCGATTTTATGCGAGAAATACCAAAATAAACTATGGAAGTGGCAACATTTTCCCCACGCTAACAGTGAACTGTGAATGTTGACGTTTCTCTTTCTACTTGAGAGTCTTGAATTTTACTTCGTCCTTGTCAAACATTATTTGACACACGCGTGTGTCAGTGCGCGATCGTTTGTCGTTTCGTGTGTTATTTTGTGCGGTAAATGTTTCTCTTCGTGAAAATGAGAAAACACGCGCTTGATTATCTAATTATAAAGTGATATAAGTGTATTTGTTAAGTGTCTTCGTTTTAATTAGTTATTTGCTTTTGTATGTCATCGGACTCATCAATATGGCGGCATCCCGTCACAAATCACAACAGAAAAATATATCGTCCATATTTTCTAAACTGCACGGCGCTTTCTCTGATGCAGTGTGTCCAACAAAGCTTGCAACAGACAAGCGTACCCTTGATAAAACATGGAAGCTAATGGACAAAGTTGTAAAACTGTGTCAACATCACAAGATGAACCTGAAAAACAGTCCACCTTTTATATTAGATATTTTGCCTGATACATATCAGAGGTTGCGCGTTATATACTCTAAATATGAGGACAATATGCAGGAATTGAATAATAATGAACATTTTAACATATTTATTATTAATTTGATAAGAAAATGTAAGCAAGCTATAAAGTTGTTTAAAGAGGGTAAGGAGAAAATGTTTGATGAAAATTCTCATTATAGGCGTAATTTGACTAAGCTCAGTTTAGTATTTAGTCATATGCTGAGTGAGTTGAAGGCTATGTTTCCAAATGGTACATTTGCTGGTGACCAGTTCCGTATAACCAAGAGTGATGCAGCTGAATTCTGGAGGACAAACTTTGGTAACAGGTATGTACTTTATAATCTAATTATTTATACTTATATTAATGTTCAACCTTACAATGTAGGCATTTGTGGAGGTGTGAATAATAATGTAAATCCACTTACACTACAACTGTGGAAATAACAAATGAATAATGGTTTGTACAGTTTAGGAAAATAGTAAACTTTTCCATTTTGGAAAAATTATTTTGCTTCATTTCTAAATAAAAATTGTACTGCTTTTAAATTCATAGGCCTAATTCTTCGGTATAATATTACTCTGGTGGGTTAAGACTTGCCTTAACTAAGTTTAAATTGGTTCCTTACCTAAAGAAGGTAAGAAACAAAATTTGCTTACATAGCAGTTAACAAACATTTACTATTATAAATATATTTTGTACAAAAAAAAACATCGTAATTCTAACATCCAGCTTTTTGTATTTTTGTTTGTTTATCCCAGTAAATTAAAAAATAACTGTAACAATTTATTAAAATTCATATAATTGCATTTCCCACATTTATTAATTGACATAAATGTATACTACAATTTTAACTATAGTCAAAATTGTTCTATAAAAAATTATGTTAAAATTTAAATTTTTTTTGCTAATTCTACCTAAACCAACTTTCCCATGTTCTGTAAAGGTAAGGATAAAAATTTTCTCATCATACAATAATGCAAAAAGAAGATTATTCATTTATTCACCTTTCCCACCAATCAATTGCATATTTACTTCCATGTTACTAGAAAAACTTTGCTGTATTTATTAGATTATGGTTGTAATTACCTACCTATAGTTGCTATTACTGATGTCGATGGACCAACACAACCAACCATCAAAGCAAGTCAATTACATGATTTTGTATATGAAATTATTTATATATAGATATACATAACTATGTAGATATTATAAAATCTAAAGGGACTAAACTTACATTTACTACCAGTTACCCAAACAAGTGCGTAGAGCTGGCTAAGAAGAACTCTTCATCACTTTTTTAATGACCTAGTTTTAGGTTTAAAAGAAACTGCAACCTAATAGTTTAAACTAACTACTTACCAGCACAGTGTTATCAGCAAGCTAGTATAATTACTAATATTTGAGTAAGTAATTATGGTTTTAAGGCTAATGTTCAGAAACTCCTGATTAAAATTAATTGTTTAATAAAACCAAAACTTACTTGTGATCAAAGGCCGTTGATTCAAGGTAACTAGTACTTATACACTCTTCAATGATAATTGTACAATATATGATTGAGATTTGTTTGTTACTGTATATAATAACACTGACAAAATTCGTTTTCAAATTTCTTTATTTTATTTAAAATTTAAATATTAACTTTAATATACGCCATTTCGTTATATTGAATTACATTAACACTGCCAATATCCATAAGTTAATCAAACAAAAAATATTGCTTGTTTTTAGTTTAAAGCAAGTTTTATATCTGATAAATTCATATATTAAAGGCTTGGTTAGTACAAGCTTAATGTACAGTATCATATTGCACTCAATGCCCTAATGTTGCCAGTCACTTAGCAATTTGGCTCAAGTGCCTTTCGTGGATCTCCATATTGTATATGATAGTAATCTGATAACTCTAGTCACTTAGCACTTTAGTATTTGATAAAACATAGGTTTTTCACCTATATACAAATCAAACAAAAAAAACAACATACAGAAGAAAGTAGCGGAAACATAATTAAACTGTTGTAGGGTTTTCCTAGTGTTAAAAAACATTTATATCATATATGGATACAGAGCCTCACACCACAAGGGTGAGAATCTAAAAACTAAGGGAGTTGGATGGTAAAAATTTAACCTATGTTTACAACAACATTTGATTATGAGAAGAGCAAGTCAATAGACAGATATATTTTTTGATCCATACAATAATACATTAAAAGTTACATAATTTTTTATTATGTCTTTATATTAAACTAGTTACTCATTGTAAATTTTATCAAAAGCTTGATTCAAAGCTTAAGCAAGTTTTCGTGATGTGTGCATAGAGTTAGTCTCTTATAGGAAATACTTAAATCATAAAGATTTGTAATTTATTTTTCATTATATTTTAACTAACATTAAATTTAAGACTGAATGTCTGAACTAAGCGTATTCCACTAAGGGTCATGGTGTTACTGAGGCATAAAATTCAATTAAAGTATTAGCCATTCACTCTGATAGCTAATATCTAATCAATAGGATGAAAGAAGATTATATTCATTCAACTATAATCTGATAAGATTGTTAGTACATAACATTTGTTTATCAAGTTTTATGTACTGATCAATATGAAACATCCGGTGACAGTGTTGCATGTGTGAACACATGTTCATTCATTACTGGCTTACATTAAACCAATGCATAAATAATATTTTTTTAAAGAAAATTATGTTATTACACTTTACAACACAAGTGTTGTTTTAATATATGTTATGAACAATAAATAGTAATGAGAAGGTAACAATTTTATATGTTACACAGCCAACGTGAAGGCATTCCAGTAGTACTACATTTCATCACATAAAACAATAACTGTCTAAAATAAAATTCTACACCTAAAAGTAATCATATCATATGATCGTTTTATTCATGCTTATTTTAACATTTGAATATGTATTTATATCATTACAATTCCCTTGCAACAAGTGTATTGTCCAAAGGGTGCATTACTGACAGGATACAAATTAATGCGACTTCACAACGGAACCGACCAGTTCCTTCCTGTTTATTGAATAGTGACAGGCGACAGCTGTAGGGCGTACTCGAATCTAACTGTTGCGTAGGTAAATTTAAGATCGATAATGTGTACACGTCGTCCGCAAAAGTATTAATTACCTCGTAGAAATTAAAGTATCGAAGTATTTTCCGACAAATTCATTCATGAATAGCAAGCTAATTCATTAATTTTAATAACGAATGTTCTGGCAATAAGGTCCATTTGCGGCGGTACTATTTGGCCTTGTTCTATGAAAATATTTATTTATAAAGTACATACACTACTTCTTACAGACTTATTAAACAATTGAATTTCTTTATAAATAAAAAGACAGACAATTTTGAATATATAATATAATAATATTAATTAAAATCAATGTCGCAACAAGTTAATCGTTAAGCTTGCTTCTTGCTACTACGTTCTACACGCCCTTCCTCAATCAAAGGCCGGCCACGCACCCACTAGAATGGGTGTCCATGGGCTGAATGTACTTGCCATTTGGGCGTCCCATAGGATCATTTGCCCCCCTATCCTATAAATAAGCGGTCATTGACTCTATTTGAATTTAAAAGAATATTTTTCTTTAGTGTTTTGTTTATTTTGAAACAGCACACCTGAGGATTCCCATTCAGTGTTCTAAAAATAAATTTATTTCGTAAATCCTTTGAATAAATTTGCTGTGTCAATAAAATACGGTAAATATTCTAAACGTAAATAAATCATAAAAAAGCATTTTCGTAAGAGGTCTAAACACGTCGGCCTAAATAAATGTCATAGCAAAAAGGGTTTACTGTGTAATCAGCTTGGTTACAATTTGCGAGGTGTAAAGGTCGCCTAGTAGTTTTTAAAGTTGCGACTTCTTTTTTTATAATGCTATTTCCAGAGACAATGTGATGATTTTAGATCAAAGATAAGTCGAGCGAGAAAACATTTTTTAATTTTGAAAAATATCTCGCTATTATCTTGATGTTTATAGTCTCACAGACGTCATCGAGTCGTTAAGACCAGCGGATGTGCGGCGGAACTCCTGATGGGAGGCCAGAGGAAAGCTAGTCTTTGTACTATGGTGTTGGATTTCACACGGACGTCTATTAACGCCCTACGAATATTAATCGGTACTTAGGGTAATTTATAACATCCCTGTTTTAATAATAGAACTGAATTATACAAAAAATTTAACCTACTTTTAATACTTCAAAGACTTCTTGTCTTTATAATAATCATTACGACTGAAGTATTTCCGAAACAATTCGACTTGGGTCCTTCAAGAAAAAAGAATTCGTATTCTTAAGTGCGTAGGCTCTGGCTATGTGAGTGTCTATGGGCGGCGGTATCACTTAACGTCAGGTGAGCCTCCATATAAAATAAATACTTCAAAGTATGTTTCACGAGAGCCACCGTATACCCAAATCAAAAACGCTTCAAGCGTAATTTCTTCAAAATTATTGCACCAATTTACTCAAAAGAGTATGGGACTGGACTTAAAGAAAAAAAGCCAAATAAGCCCCAGCATTTTTGTGTGGGAACAGACGTTAAACATGTAGTATTATCAGTAGTAGTACTAAATACTAAACACAGTGTAAAATCTTTATAACGAGTTTCAAGGGACCGAGCATTTTTCTTCGTTATAGGTAAAGAAGAAAAAAAACACAAAATTTAACCAATTACAATAATTTATATATAGATGCTTGACAATGGTGCGTTTAGTAACTGAGACCAAAATTTCCTACAGGCATATCTAAGAATAATGGCACACGTGTTAATGCAATTAACAATAACATTAAGGCGAGATGGCTGTTTATGACCTAAGGTGCCTTTTTAGAAATTTCGGCACCTCAATAGGTTAATTTTGTAATTTGATTGATTTTAAAAACAATTACACTTAAGTATGTTGTTGATGTCTAAATATGAAAATATTTCTTCGTAATAGAGACTGGCTGTGGCGTTATAAAGGGTGAATTAAAGTATGGGTTTTGTGTTAAACCAACCAAATCTTACTTTTTTTCGTTATATTTCTAGTTTTACGAATGACGTTATAATGAGTTTACACTGTACTGGGGAGTACGCATTTTTAATGTCCATTCCTATACATTTTGGTTTGCTCAGAGTAGGTAGCGTAATCCAAAAAGTAATTGAACGTATCTCTCACGTTTCGCAACAAACGAATTATCGAGCAGCATGTAGTACGTTTGAATTGCCAGACATTAAACCAGTTTGTAACGCACTAAGCATCGCGTTCGTGATCAGTTAAATGTCAAATTCTCAATACCTTGGCATTTTAGATGGTCCAGTCAAATGGAAAATTGCTCTCGGAAGGGCTGAGTTACTTGCTGTGATCTGTGTGCTTTTAGATCTTGTATATCAATTCGGCTCAAGGAATATTAATCAAAAATTAAGCTCATTCCAGCTTTGTTACTATCAAGTCAAAGTTTTTATAGAAAGAATTGCGCGCGTATAGAAAGAATTGCATAATTTAAGTACCCTACACGTGTTGGATTGTTTGGTAGCACCCGGATTTCATGTTTGTTATATCATTCGTTAATACGTTCCGCAGTTTTCTAGGTATATTACTCGTTTATGTAGGAATGAGATTCTCTATTTAAAATTTTATATTGACGGTCAAGATTCCCTTATATATTGTATGTATATGTGTATACTACCTTTACAAAAATAATTTTAGGCTTTTAATTACAGCCAATTTTGTAAAATTAATATTTCATGGAACGATAAAGGAAAACATAAAAAAGCATGTGTTAGACTCAAAATGTGTATCATCATAACGCTGATCGCCTACTTGCCTATACATTAATGATCTATGTAACCTACGCACTTCCCAATATCCCAATTAGGGTTTTACAAACTACCTACACAAATATTATTGTACAACGTTTCTGTGATACGTAACGATTACTTGATGCAAGTTTTTTAATTTAATTCCCTTCGGTGTCGTGCACCCGCTATCTACACAATCGATACAAGAACACGACAGGTAGCGAGCCTAGATTGTTGGGATCAATAAACTCTCAAGGATGTTACATTGCGAATAACATCAATGGTTTTACTCCCCGGAGACTGAATTTTATGAATCGGAACTTATTTATAGCATTTATATAGCTGTTTGTGTTTGCTTCTGTGAATTGTAAAATTTAGGAAATAGAAGGAAAATGTGGGAGAACTTATTTAATTTCGCTAAATGTTTTTATTGGATAGCTGAAATGCAGTAATGGTTTCCATAGAAGTGTCTGTTTAAGAATATTTTTGAAGTTATACTTCTTTAGGCGCGTTATGAAAAATTTATGAGAGTGAAATTTTTTCGATGCGCGCGCACCGTGACACAAAATTATCAGTATGGGCGCCGAGCGTCCGTGAGCGAGATGGGAATAAGACAATCTACAAGTAAAAAGAAATAGAATATGCGTGACGTTAGCAGCTATGCCAAAAATTTTGAATGACCATAATGACATTTGTAGTACCTTTTAAACAAATAAAGGAGTTTTAATTATTTTTTCAAAGAAATTTAACAATGCTTTTTCACAAAGACCTATTGTTACTTAGTTAAAAGGTTATGAAACATACCTAGTTATTAAATTGAATTAATAATATAATAAAATAATAAGTAATAATTATTATTAATATTAATTAATAATTGAATAATATACTAAATATTAAATATTGTTAAATTATTAACGCTAAATATTTATTATTAATTATTTAATATTTAAAAAAAAATAAAGAAAGCCAAAAGAAGTATAACTTCTCACGCGCGTACATAAGTACACGCACCATTTTTTTTAAATTAATAAGTGATACAGTTTTAAGACGGGAACCAATGCAACATAATTTCAATATTCAGTTACAAGTCATTATTTTTCCGTTTATAAAGACAAAATCAGTGTACATTTATATTCTTTAAATTATGTCTCTTTCTGTCAAATTGTGTTTACGCTGTGATGAAAAGTGACAGATAAGTACTTTAGTTAAAACGTAATTACCAATTCACCATTTATGCATATTAAGTGATGGTATATTGGCAGTACATGATCCTAGCTTTCCTTAAGTGGCAATCTATTCATGCATCGTTGAATGTTGTT